TGCAGAGAACCCCTTCAAATGGAATATTGGATTGTCAGTAGGCTTGAACTTTGGAATATCAGCAGTGGAGAACTTTTCAGGGAGTCTGTCCTTCACATTCAAAGGAGTGGGAGGTCGTTCCACATAAGTGAAATCCTCAGAAATCTTACTCATTTGTTCCTTCAGTTTGTCAAGGGTGGAAACAGTGACCTTGTTTTGTTCCATGGTAGTGACCCTAGTGGTAAGGGTTTGCATCATGGAAGACAGTGCCTCAATGGATTTGTTGATGTTCTCAATGTCTTCTTTTATGGCCATTGAAAGGTGATGAGTAACGGAGATGACAAAGTTCTCTTTGAACGCCTATTAGATCTGAGAGATTGTTGCGGTAATGGCTCGAACCGTATTGATCAATCTCTGTTCCTTGAACAAGTACTGTGAAATAAAATAATTCACTTAATTGTTTGACTCATTGCTCAAGATAGGAAGGAAAAAAAATAGACATTTGAAAACAGGTGAGAAAACTCCACTCATTTTTTTATTTTGACGAAAAAAGGTGCATGAACCTAATATACGATCATAAACGACCTGGTGCACGACTCGAGTCGGAACATAAAGAAAGTGTGTGGACTATACTTGACTCGTGAGTTACTAAGTGATGTTATAAGACTCGTGGTATGATCGTATGGCTAGACATGTGAACAATAACCAAAATGACTGACGCGAGGACCAAATTAACACGGAAGAGTTGACTTACGCGGTTTTTTTTTTTTTTTGTGGAAAATCCACCGTGTCACGGTGGAAATTGCCGTGACACGGTGAACTTTACCGTGGCACGGGAATGTTTCCCGTGCCACGGTGGACTATGCCGTGACACGGTGGTCAGTCCCGTGTCGCGGCAACCCTTCCCCTTTTTTTTCTGCTAATTACTAAGTGAGTACGGTCCATTGGCAGTCGTTAGTCATAAAATAATCCACCATAGACAAAGAAAGATCGTTCAGGTTAGGATCAAAACGACCAAACATAAAACACGTAGGCACAATGATGCAAAGAATAGTTCGCAACCTAAGGTCAAGTTCTATGTTCGACTATGGTCAAGTTTATTTGGTGTCAAAGGGTACCATGGTTAAGAGTTTGGACGCGTTAGCAAGGTAGCCTCCCTTGAGGGTGTATGCCAACGGGCGGCTCCGCGAGTTCGTGATGAAATCGAACTCGACTCCATGGGACCACGAATAAGGGACAACGATAGGCAACAACAATTGACCCGTGAAGGTTACACCCCATTCATAATCCATGAGATTACTAATTCCATATGGTTCGGAACCACGAAAGGAGAATCAGGGATGATGGTACGAAGTGAGTCATGGAGTCACATTCGCCCGTATTGGCCTCTACTCGATTCTTATAGTGAAAAGTGATTCCTGCGATCTCAAAGGCATACAAACAAAGATTCAATTTGCTCCAAACTATTATTAAATGAAATTGGTTGAATACTAATGCAACACATAATTCTAAAATATTTGTGATCACTTGAATTAAACAACAAGATTAAAAAGGAACCTAAACCGGTTGTCCAAATTATCTTATTAAGCGTGATTTTCAATTACATATTCCCTTTAAACATGCAATATGGTGATCATAAAAATAATAATAGAATAAACATTAATATTGGAAGCAATTCAACAATAATAGCGTTAGTCAAATTAAATATAAAATAACCTAATCATGATACTAGCAATAAGAAAACAAAATAAGAGTAATTAAATTAATTAATTACTCACATTCCGCGCGTTCCTTTAATTTGCTACATCATGAATAAACTGTTAGTAACTTCAATAAAAATATAAAGTAAATGGAAATTAAATTAAATTAAAAGTAGAGTTGATTTGGTCCAAACCCTCAATTATTTGTACCTTTCACGCCTTGGTTTAAGGACGAAACCTCCGGTAAAGTATAGACTCCTTGGAGTGCTTAGGGGAATTATTACGGAAGAATAAGGAGGCTAGAAATTAGGTTAAAGAGGGAGAAGAGAATGATTTTTGGTGTAAGGTGAGAGAGAATGATTATTGGTGCCCCATACATCAGAAATGAGGGGGTATTTATAGAGAAAATGTGCTGAGGGAGCACACGGAACCCTAAAATGATACAAACCCTAAAAAAGTATCCCGTGACACGGAAAACTGTACCGTGACACGGGAAGTCCCACCGTCAGACAGCAAACTTTTCCACGACACAGTACATTTTTAGTGTGACGCGGGAAATTTTTAGAAAACGGGAAAGAAAACGCGTTAAGGGTTTACGCGGAAAAGACACGGAATGTCCCGTGACAGCACACGTACCGTGACATGGCAGTATCCACCGTGACACGGTACAGTACACCGTGTCACGGTATGGGAGACGCGGAAATTACACGGAAACAGCTCCGTCAGACGGTGTAAATTCCCGTGACACGGTGGAAAATGCCGTGACGCGGGAGTTGTTTAGGTATGAAGAACGCAAATAGGAAATGGAATAGCCCCGCGTCACAGCAAGGGCACCGTGTCACGGGGATTCCCACCGTCAGACGGTGCAATTTCCCGTGACACGGTGGAATTGCACTGTGCGCGGTGATTCCAGGTTTTTACCCTTTTTTAAAACCATCATAACGTTTGATCCGTAACTCGGAATGAGGAATATAATATATCATTTGAAAGCTTATCAAGTCTTATTTCCATCCCAATTTAAATCAAGTCAAAATAATATGTATATTTTACGATATGTTCGTTTTAGTGGAAGGGTGTCGGTTTTAGGCCGATTTTGGTGTTTTGCTCATATCTTTTTCGTTATAGCTCGAAATTGGGCTTATGATATATGGTTGGAAAGATTATTTAAATGCCTATCCAAAAAAATAATTATTGGATCAAAATTGTATAGCTATAAAATCATTTTCTCTCAGTGGACACGAAAAGTGGAAAATAGGTTATGGTTTAGGGAAATGAGCTAGAAAATGGATTGGTTCATGAAATATATTGGATAGAACATGGATTTAAGCATTCCAAATATTAAATACTCAACTCTATCAATAATGGCGGTGAATGGTGTTCATCAACGGGTTTGGTTATGGGGTGACATTTTTAGGTGTCTACAAGCCCTAACATGATACTATTAGGAAAGGCAATAAAAGGTATCATAGAAATCATAATTGATATTATATTCTTTACCCTAATCATGATACTAGGAACTTATTGTTGTCACCCTACACATCATACTAAGAAAAACATCCTAACATGATACTAGGAATCAAAATAACAACCTAGACATGATTTATATATCATAATGTCAATAAAACAATTAAAGCACTTACTTGGATGCCTCGTACCTCTTTCTAATAACAAAATACATACGTTAGTAAATTTAAGGAAAATATTAAAACAAAGAATTAAATTAAATAATTGAAATAGATATTTGGGACCAAACCCTCAAAAATATCAAACTTTTCACGTCTAGGGCGAAGGCAACTTCAAATTTGGCTAGGTGTGTCTAGTGCTAATGTATGAGGAATTGTTTGTAAAAGGATAGGCTAGAAAGATAGAGAGAATCAAGAAATTATTGATGAGAGTTTGTTATTTGAAAAAGGGGAGATATGACCTCTAGAAAAAAGAGGGTCGAAAAATAAGAAAAGAATCTGAATTCGAATCGAAATAAAACTCGATGGACAATAGTTTTTGCTGATTTTGTTTTTATCATATCTTTTGATCCAGAAGTCCAAATAAGGCATATAATATTTCGTTGGAAAGATCTTGAAGTCTACTTTTTAACCCAATTAGAACCAGATTAAAATATTTTGTAGATAAAATGATATATCCGAAATAGTGGAAGGGTGTTAGTTTTGGATAGAGTTTCCTATTTAATTCATATCTTTTTCGTTATAGCTCGAATATAACATTATAATATATCATTGGAAAGATAATTTCAAGATCTATCAAACCATATAAGATTTGGATAAATATTATAAGGCATGAAAATAATATCTGACTGTCTTTGAACATCTTTAAATTTGAATAGAATTAGGACTTAAAAAAAGGAAAGTTTTCATAAAAGGAAAGTTTTTATTTAACTCAAATTCTTTAATCTTATCTTTTCAAAAAGGATAATTAAGATCTTTTAGAAACTTATAGAAGCTTCTAATTAATCCTAATTAATTTAGGAATAGGATTAGACCTTTGGACCCTCCACATGATCATTGGGTCGTAGGTAAAAACCGGTTTGGGCCCAGTTTAGTATTTTGGCCATAACTTCCTCATTATTCATTGGAATTGGGCTTATAATATATCATTGAAAAGGTCTTTTCAAGCACCATCGAAATACACTATTATTGGACCCATATCATGGACCAAACTAAACTGGAATGCACGTTTTTCAAAAATAGGGTAAGAAAAGAAATGTTTTCAAAAACAGAATGAAGAGATATTTTAATAAAAACATCCTCATCACTATACTTTTCACACTTTTGCTTTGTTCGATAATAAAATGACATGAAAGCTATTCATCACTGGGTTTGGTTTTGGGTAGACATATTTGGGTGTCTACATGACCGATGCCAAAGGACCGGAAACATTTCAAAGAGAAACGAAATGCCCCAACAACCCATTCTAGAGTTGGAAATTTTTGATGTATGGGGAATAGATTTCATGGGTCCTTTTCCTACTTCATATGGGAATCAATATATCCTTGTTGTCGTTGATTATGTGTCAAAATTGGTGGAAGCTATTGCTTCACCTACAAACAACCATAAGGTAGCAATGAAGATGTTCAAGAAGATAATTTTCCAACAATTTGGCAGTCTGAAGGCGGTTATTAGTGATAATGGATCTAATTTTGTACATAGTGTCTTCCGGAAGATGTTGAAGAAGCATGGAGTTAATCAACGTTTCGGGCTGCTCTATCATCCTTAAACTAGTGGGCATGTTGAAGTGTCTAACCATCAAATCAAATTGATTCTTGAGAATACGGTCGAAAGAAATAGGAAGGATTGGTCGGATAAGATGGATGATGCCTTTTGGGCATATAGAACGACTTTCAAAACTCCTATTGGCACTACTCCTTACCGCTTGGTTTATGGGAAGTCTTGTCATCTTCCGGTCGAACTTGAGCATCGTACCCATTGGGCTATCAAGAAAATCAATTTCGACTTGGCAAATGCAGTTGAGCAACGTTGGCTTGATCTCCATGAGTTGGAAGAACTTCGATTGGATGCATATGATCGTGCAAGCATGTATAAGACTCGCACTAAGAAAGTGCATAATAAACTTATTGAGAAGAAGGAGTTTAATGTTAGTGACAAGGTCCTCCTTTACAATTCTATGATGAGATTATTTCCCGGGAAGCTAATGTCTCGTTGGAGTGATCCTTTTGTTGTTCAAGAGGTTTTTCCTAATGGTGCGGTTGAAATATCTCCTTTTGATTTCTAAAGAACTTTCAAAGTCAATGGTCATAAGCTCAAGCGCTACTATGATGGAGTTTTTGTGGGAGTTGTTCATGATATCACCCTCTATGATCCACCTTGAAGGGTGGAAAACGTCAAGCTAATGACATTAAACAAGCGCTTTTCGGGAGGAAACCCAAGTTTCTAACCATTTTCTCTATTTTCCTTGATTTTTTTTTCTTTTTGTTGTTTCTATTCTTATTTTATTTTCTTTCTTGATTGTGTTTTTAGGTAGTTTTGATTGGGTTTCAAACAATTTTGGTGCCTATTTTAAAGAGAGAGTGATCAAGTTGATGAATTGGAAGTATGATTAAAAAATTGAAGTTTGGTGGGTTCAAATGGTGGGTTCATGAAAATATAGTGTTGAACCCACATTCATGGAGTTTAAAAACTTCTTGCCTCAACCTTCATCATTATCATTCCCCTTGTACTCACCGATGTGCGCACGAGAAGGGATTCGGAAGATTGCATACCCAGAATGGCAAGGGCGCGCGCGATCATTGCGCGGCCGCGCGGCCCTATGGCGCGACCGTGCACCCCCTATTGTTGCTCCTTAAACGCACCGACCTTTTTCTATTTCTCTCTCTTCTTTTCATTTCATTTTCACTTGGTTTTTGTTCAAGCATCATCACCATTTTCCTTCATTATTTTATTACTAAAATTTCACCATCTTTCACTTCATCTAGTTGCTTATTACTCATAATCCCCACTGTAACACTTTCATTGTGGTCTTCTCTTTCCTAAAGTTAAGATATACGGGTACCCTTTGGATTGGGGTTTGTTGCTTGCAATTTGGCATAATTGTGTTTGTTAGTGCTTTGTGTTCCATTTCTTTGTAAACTCTCATCAATCTAAGGTATGATTTCTTCATTTCTATTGATACTTATGATAAATTTTCTACCTTGGTTGTTCATGAGTGTTTAAATTTATTTGGTTCTAACCTCATTATTGTATCCATATTTCTTACTATCTACTTCATTTTTTGTGATAATAATGAAATTTTGGTGATTGTATGAACTTGTGTTTGATGATTTTGCTTGACCATACTATAATTTTGGCACCACCTTTGTTGGATTTATAGTTTGATTATATTGATTTGGAAATGTTGATGTGCATAGTTGATTTTAGATGATGGTTTGGAGTGTTGTTGTTCATGATGCATAATTGTGGGTCATGCTCCTTACTCACTAGAGCATTTTTCAATTATATGTGTAGATGGTTCCTCTCCGTCGAGCTAAGAGGGCTAGATGCTCTACCTATAGGGAGGTGGTTCCTCCTCCTTCCCACATCACAAAGACATATGGAATTGAGTTCACAAAAGAAGAGCATTGAGAAAGATTTGCCAATCTTTCAACTCGGATACTTTTTCTACTAGATTCTATGATTCGTCGGCAACTACTTCGTTGGGTATCGACAATGATGTGAGATTTTTGGCTTGAAATTTGGGGTTAGAGGAATTCTTAAGCCTTCATGCTCCCACCTACTCTTGGATTACTTTTAAATTCCTCTCTTCCCTTGAGATCCTTGAGGAGGATTTGGAAGGTGAAACTGCTCGAAGAATTTCTTTTCAAGTTTTCAACAATGATCATTCGGTGCCTCTTTCCTATCTCAACGAGGTTTTCAAGTTCCCAACTCGAAGTGAGGATGTCCCACTTGTTTATCCGGCATTTGAGGCTTTTCAACGTGATAACAATTATTGTGAGTTCAAGTGGTGGAGGCATATATCTATCGAGGACTCATATAGTCCTCAATATTCAAAAGCGACGTCAATTATTCATGCGGCCTTGAGGTATATTAGCCGACATCTTACATATGCCTTCTTCTCCAAGGAGTCCCTTGGTGCTATTTTCCGAGAGGAGTTGAGTTGGTTATGGCTAGCGGATAAGCCATTTGAAGAGGGGGTAGCGTTCATTGACTTTGCTTCGCATTTGCTTGACCGTTTCATTGATATAAGAGATGGTATCTTTCTCTCCGGAAGTATCTAATTAGGGGGTATGATTACCATTTTGATTCTTTCCCTCAACAAGAAGTATGAAGCAATGCTAGAGTCACTTGTCCCTATCCATGATAAAAGGGAGAAAGCTCCTTACCACTTCTTAAGCATCTATGCCATGATAAATCAACGTTTTCTAAAGCGCACCACCAAAGCAAACTTGTACATTTGGAAGGTTACAAGGACTACGAATTGGTTCCCCATCCCTCACCCCGAGGCTATGGTTAGATGTGTGGGCAACCCTCTTCCAAGGTGCCGATTGATCAAGCCCTCAAGGGAGCTCCGTAGCCAAACCTCCGGCATAATCCTTATCTCCCTCTTGCTCCCTCTTCATCCCAGGGAGGTAAATCTTCCCAGGGATTTACATCCTCGACTCCTCCCTCTTCTTCTACTATTTCTACTATTGACTTGTCTGTTTTGCATTCGAAAATTGATTCCATAGCGAATGTTCTAAATTGTTCAACATTGGGGTACAATTTTTTATTAGGCTATGACTTTCATGCTAGGAAAGTCTACGATTTTCATGTCATGAGGGGGGATATCCAACCATATGTTAACTACCCGTACCTACCGGTCCAACAAGGACCCGTGCCTCAATGGGAGTCGTTTGATGAGACCGTCGGCCCTAGGTTGTGTTATCCTTATTGGGAGGGGCCTAATGTATCTCCCAATGCCATTAGGGGGACCTCCTCGGCCTCTTACGATTATAAAAGGCCGGGAGGGTGTGATTTTACTTACGATCCGGCAAATCCTAACCCTTTTTCCCTCACCTGAGCTGAGACTTTTAGCCGTTGGGGTTTATCGGGCGAGCCAGTCCTTGATGATTGGTCCCACCTTTTTGCTAGGGATAAAGCCGAGAGGACGAAGAGGTTGAAGGGTAAGGGCCCTATGCTCATGGATGATGTTTCTAGCTAGATTTCTTCTGATGTTGGTGAGGGGAGTACTCATTCTACCCCTTACCACAGTGCCGAGTGATACTATAATCGCTACCCTCCCTTTTATGCTTGTGTGCTTTTCTTTTGTTTCATTGCCAGCTTGTAGCTTGGTTTTAGCTTTGGGGGGGGGGGTAGCTCATTTTTAGCTTGGGGGAATATTCTTATGTCTGCTGTGCTTCTTTTGTCTCCCCCTTGCTTTTATGGTTCACTTTGGCTTTATCTCACACCTGGTGTTTTTCTCTGCTGATGATTTATGTTGTTGTCTATTCCCTGCGATAGTATTCTGCTGATGTTTCTTGGTTTTGTTATCTAACTGATGGTTTTTGCTGCTGATGATATATTGATGATCTAGTTCTTGATTTCTATTTTCCTGATGTTTGATTGCTCTCTGATTGGCTGATTTTTCTCTCTTCTCTATGATTCTCTATCTCTGCTTCTCTGATCATTTCTGTCACCTATGATGTTGTTTGATTTTGTATGGAAGTTACCAACAATTTTGTTTATGTATATAGCTTTTTTTTTCTCTCTCTTGGTATGTTATCCTTGCATTTGCTCTTGGAGTATCCTGACAGTTGCGTTTGCTTTCTTTCATACTCTTTCGCATTGCTTGGAATACCCGGTGATATCTTTCTTTTTCTTTTCTCCCTTTATCTTTCTTGATTACATAGTTTAGGATTGGTTTTAGGAAAAGTTGAATGGTTCGAGGATGGATGCTTTTAACACTTAGAGTGTTTGGGATCATTAGCGATGTTGTCATATGATCACTTGTTTGTTGATTGGGAATTACATGTTAGACTTGCATATTCGTTCCATTCTTTATTTTCCTACTTTTCCTTTATCTATGTTTTTCTTTTTCTCCTTTCTTATCTTTTATTTTTCTTTCTTCTTGTTTTTGGTATTTGGTATGTTTTAAGGCTTTATTTGTCTTTTTTTTTCTTTTGAATTGGACTATATACAACCGATTTTTGCTTTTGAATGAATATCTTCCTAAATGGTATGGGTATGCACAGTTTGAGAATATTCTTGGTTGACTCTAGGATAAGTGTATGCTAAGGTAGCTGTTTTAGAACTAGGAGGATCATGAAACTAGATTCTACTTGTTTGTGGCATGGTGGTAGTTACTTCCTATGGTCGATTTGACACCTATAGTGAGTTTTTGCTACCTCCATGTGAGGTTCATCATTTTTCAAGCCTTATACATATTTTGCATGAGCGTCATGGATCCTTGACTATTGCAGACCTAATCTTGAATCTTGACTCATAATTCTCTAACTGGAGACCGAACCAACTAGGAAGGATAAAGGCAACTTTTCGGGGTGGTAATTTTTCATTTCTAGGATCTTTCTTTCTTTTTAGTTCTTTAGATTTACATTTCCCTTCTTGCTAACCATTTAAGTCTTTTCCCTTCTTTTCAAGCCACATCTTTAGATTTTGAGCCTTTTGTTTCGTTTCCATTCTTGGTTTTTGTGAAGCAATTGATCATTTTTGTTGGAGTTTGTGGTGGAGAAGTTTGGATATTTGGTTCTCTTGAAAGCAAGCCTATGTTGTGATATTTGTGTGAATAATGGCAAATGATTGATGGAAAAAGCTTAAGTAAAAAGGCAAGGACTTAATAAATGCATAATTGTAAAAGCCGTCCAAAGTTAAAGAGGCATGGACAATTACTTTGAAAGAAATGAAAAAATAAAAATAAAAGTTGAAAATGAGAAAAAATCCAAAAATGTTTTGATGTGATTCTTTTCCTCTTTAAGCATTGAGGACAATGCTTCCTTTTAGCTTGGGGGAGAAGCGTTTACGCTTTTTGTATATATGCTATTGGATATAGCTTTGAATAAGCTTGGGGGTATTAGTTTGTTTTTGTTTGGTGACTTCTCGGTTTTGGTGTCGAGGTTTGGCCAATCTTTTCTTCATCACCTAGGTGTACCACCAAATTTTAAAATTTTAACCTACCCCTAACCTTTTTCCCTTACGTTACAACCATTGGGAAAGACCTTTCGACCTAGAGGTTGGTCAAATTTCAAGGGAGGGCATTATGAGTTAAAGCTTAAAGAGAGGGGA